CCTTCCTCCCAATCATTGAACCCAGATTCAGGAATGAAAATCTATTTGAATCTGAGGATATAAGTGTTAAAACTTCTTGTCTATAAAAGCAGTTCAGTGACAGCATTCTATTTAATTTTTGTCATGCGAAGTTTTGTTTGTATTGACAAGCCTTATTTTGATTCTGGAATAAATGTGTGTTATTTTTAATTTTTAGTGCTCATAAGGTGTCGGAAAACTACATAGGACAGGGATTATGAATCATACTTTCACCTTTGAAAATGCAAAACACAATAAAATTTGACCAAGCAGCAGAGAATTGACCAGGCAGTCATTATTGACACTGAATTGTCTGGTTTATGTAGTGGCCTGTGGTGCAGCAGAATCAAAAAGGGTAAAGCCCTGGTAACCTTCTGGTGTGTAGGAAGTTTTTGCCCCATATGATAAAGCAGAAGAGAGCACCTAAAAACTCTGCTTCCAGTTATCAGGGGTGGGGTTTTTTGACACATTTAGTTGTTCTTCTGTTCAGAAGGCATAGGGAATCTAGGTGGATGAATCCCATTTCCAAATGGTGTGGGTCCCATCAAAGATGTTTCAGATGTTACATCAAAATATAAAGGGATATAGAATCATAGATTCATAGAATCTTTCAGGTTGGAAGAGACCCTTGGGATCATCGAGTCCAACCATCTACCCTACTCTACAAAGTCCTCCCCTACACCATATCCCTCAGTACCGCATCTAAACGTCCTTAAACACATCCAGGGACGGTGACTCAACCACCTCCCTGGGCAGCCTATTCCAATGCCCGACCACTCTTTCTGTGAAAAATTCCTTCCTAACATAAATAATTTAGTATGGACTAAGGTTCAAATACAACAAAGGATTTAGACCTGTGACTCTTGTTTAGGTTCTGATCTCCCAGTTGGTGCCTGGAGGAAGCCAGGACCTCACACAGGAGTTTGTGGCCTAAACCCTCTGTCAGGGCTGGGCCTTAAATGCTTTAGTAGCGGTAAACTTCAGAGCCAATGGATGCCAGTGGCACTCAGGTCCCTAATCCACCAAAATCACTTTGGCAAGTGTAACCCGGCCGTGGAAGTCACATAGTGTTTCCCACACACAGAAGTGATGTCCGAGGGCATTGAGCAGCCTGGGCTGAAAAATAAGCGCAGTTTGAGAGGCTGATGCAAACACCGTTGTTGAAAGCCAAAGGCTACACTACCATTTTATGACTTGAGGCACGGACAGAAAGATTTCTGTGCTTCTTTGGCACTCCCTGCCAACAGAAGACCTAGGTAAACAACAGCAAAACTGGTGTGTGTCACTGAGGGCATAGCTCCTGTTCTGTATCTGTAACAGAAATACAGAAGCAGAATGAAGGTCAATTTCAAACCTAAATAAAAACCTCACCGTGCTTTAGCAGAAATGCCTGTATTCTCCAATTCTAACTTGAGGCACTTAAAGGTGGCAAGAGCCACAGAGAGGCAGGCACCTGTAGAGACTGGCTGTGGTCTTACGTGAGCCCAAACATGTCCTGGAGAACCTCTGTTTCATTTTACTGCCCGTGCCACAGGCCTAGGGGTGAGAAGGCTCCTGGGGGTGAGAAGGCTCCTGATCTGGGCAACTAATTTGGTGCCTGAAATTCGGTGGGGTGACCGGGTCAGCTACCTCCCAGAATAAGGATCGCTCTGGCCGTGAACACATGCGTGGCTCCAGTGCCCTGGCAAAAGGGCAGCATCGTAATTTAACTTTAAAAATTAGCATGTGCTCAAAAGTTTGGGGAACAGAGGCTTCCTGGGATACCAGAGAAGCAGCAGAGATGGGGGTCCTATTCACTTGTGAGATGCAGCAGCTGGCTGGGGCCCTCCCTGACCTCCCAGAAAAGGGAAAGAAATCAAAGATGCTGGGCTGGGAGAGCCTCCTCCCACCCACCCCCAACTCCCTCTCTCGATGATCTCAGAGGTCCCTTCCAACCACTGAGATTCTGTGATTCTGTGATTCTGTGATTCTCCAATTCTAACCTGAGGCACTTAACCTCTGTGGCAAGAGCCACAGAGAGGCGGGCACCTGTAGAGACTGGCTGTGGTCTTACATGAGCCCAAACGTGTCCTGGAGAGCTTCTGTTTCATTTTACTGCCCGTGCCACAGGCCTGGGGGTGAGAAGGCTCCTGGGGGTGAGCAGGCTCCTGATCTGGGCAACTAACTTGGTGCCTGAAATTCGGTGGGGTGACCGGGTCAGCTACTTCCCAGAATAAACATCACTCTGGCCGTGAACACATGCGTGGTGGGCACCTGTAGAGACTGGCTGTGGTCTTACATGAGCCCAAACGTGTCCTGGAGAGCTTCTGTTTCATTTTACTGCCCGTGCCACAGGCCTGGGGGTGAGAAGGCTCCTGGGGGTGAGCAGGCTCCTGATCTGGGCAACTAACTTGGTGCCTGAAATTCGGTGGGGTGACCGGGTCAGCTACTTCCCAGAATAAACATCACTCTGGCCGTGAACACATGCGTGGTTCCAGTGCCCTGGCAAAAGGGCAGCATCGTAATTTAACTTTAAAAATTAGCATGTGCTCAAACCATGCAGTTCTGCCAACTCTTCACAGCTACAACGACCTAAAAAATAAAAATAAAAAATGAGGCTGGGGGAAGCTCCTGGGGGGAGGTATAACCCCCCCGACCAGGTTACACAAAGCACTGGTTTTGGGCAGGTTTTGTGCAGAGGTGCCACGGGCACCTCCTCGCTGCCAAGAGCGATGCCCACCCCAGCTTCTCTCCCCACCGCCCGGCTCCGGAGGGGGGGGCAGGGAGTTCCCCGCCCCCCTTCGCGCCCCTCCGCCGGGCATCAGGGCGGCAGCTTGGGACGGGCCATTGAAGGGAACCAGCGCTCCATGCAGCCGCCGCCTGGTTTGCCTGGGACGGGGGTGCTTTAAAAAATAATAATAAAAAAAAGCAAATAAAAAGGAGAATATTTTTTTTTAAAAAAAAAAAGGGAGCAAATAAAAAAGGAGCAAATAAATCCCCCTCCCTGAGCGCCTCCCGTTAGATGGCGCTACAGACTTGACAACCACGTGTATAGAAGGGAAAAGGGGAAAAAAAAAAAAAAAGAATAATAATAAAATATAACCCTCTTATTGTGCAAAACGCAGAGAGCCGGCCCCGCGTAGGGCCGAGGGGGGAGCGGGGCCGGGCGGGGGGATGCTCTTTCCCCGCGGGGAGCGCCCGGAACCCCCCGCACCCCCGGGAGGGACCGGACCCCCGGGGACCCCCAGGGCAAGGCGGGGGGCGAGAGGGGGCCCGGCGGAGCCCGGTGCTCCCGTCGGGGATGGTCCTGTCGGGAGAGCGGGGTTTGGGGGGAGGACGGGGAGCGCCGGGAGCTGGGCAGAACCGGCGGGCAGGTTCCCCTCCCTCCCCCGCCTCACTTCGGCTTTCCCAAAAAAGCTGCTCAGGCAATCTGTGCTGCCTGAACGGGCTCTGGGGGTGATGGTGTCATCAATCCCCCCTCACCTCACCTTTTTTGTGGGTTGATTTAATTTTTTATTTTTTTGGGGGGGGAGGGTGTCCCGCTTTTCCCTTCCCCCCATTTTAGGACCCCGCAAGTTTTGGGGCAACCGGTCAGTGGCCGCCGCGGGGACACTCCGGAGCGGGACGGCCCTTGGTGCGCGGCGCTGCCCCTCGCCCGGCCCAGGGAAGGGAGTTGTGGGGGGGACACGGGGACGGTGCTGCGGGGTGAAAACCACCGAAACGCAATTTCTTAAGACGGTGACCGAACTCCTCCGCCCGGTCCCGGGCAGAAAGGCGGCCGGGTGTCCCCAACCCCTGCCGCTGAGCCTGTAGGAGAACACCTTGGGAAGGAGTTAGGGCTGTCCCCGTGCAAAGGCCACCCCCGCATCCCAACCCCCGCATCCCACCCCTCATCCTGCCCCTGCCGCGTCGGGCTGTGAACTTCCCTGCGGGGGTAAGTTCTCCTTTAAGAAAGCGAACTGTTCCTTATGCATATTTGAAGGCTGTTTGTCTTGCAGTGCCCAGCTGACGCGGGGCCGGAGGCTCAACACGCGGGACCCGAATTGTCGGGGAGTAAATCAGCCACACGTTAAAGGCACCCTCTGCCAGGGCTCCGGGTGGGAGCCCCTTCCCATTGCTCTAAACACATGTAAGTCAGAACCCGGGGGAGCCGG